AAATTCTTTAAGTAATTTTATTACTTAATAACCTTTAATATTACTTTAAATATTAATCCTAAAAAAACTTTTTTTTTTGGTAATGGTGATTTTCACTAATCGACAGCGATTGACCAATTAGATTACAAGATCAGGTATAACGTGAGATCAAAACAAATTTTTTTTTTAAAAAAAAAACTTACTTGTAAACTTTTAGTATAAGACAAGTCTCGTTATAATTGTAAACCTGACTCTAATGTAGTGTTATGACTTTAAAAAATTTGTTAATCAGTGAAAATCTGAACAACCGCGTGCTATATTAACTACATGCGCGTTATTATACGCACAGGCATTATTTCGAGATAAAGTATTAATTTTGAAACTTTTCTAGTTTACATCTAATTTACTGTCATTACTCAATATATTACCAATATAACACGTTATTTACCCAATACTTATCCATTTGAAGTGTGTGCTATTTCGGGACGCATATGGGCGTTTGGTCCAAGATCATTAAATTAAGATTCAAAAAAGTCCGAGTGGTGTTTTCACAAAGTGCATCTACTATTGCTTTTTCATTTTCTGGTCCAAGATGGTTCGATGCAAGATTCAAAAGAGACAGTGCGTTAACTAATGCCTTTACCCCTTCTGATCTAATATCGTTATAACTAATATTCAAAAAAGTTAATATAGTGTTTATGTAAAGTGCGTTTGCTAATGCTTTTACATCTAACCTTCTAATTAAGTTTATTACAACCAATATTCAAAGAAGTCAACATGGTGTTCTTGCCAAGTGCAGTTGATAACGCTTTTATCTTTTCTGATCCAAGGTCGTTACCATAAAGATTCAAATCTTTCAAGGTGTTGTTTGTTTAAAGTGCATTTGCTAATGCTTTTCCTCCCTCTGATCCAATATTATTGGAATGTAACCAAATTTCACCGCTCTCACAAAGATTCAAAGAAGTTAGCGTAGTGTTCTTGCAAAGAAACTTTGCCAAAATTGTTACCTTTTCGTTATCGATTTGGTTATCTCGAAGAGCTAAAGAGTTTAAAGCAATGTTCTTATCAAGAGCCTTTAATAACGTTTCCATACCCTTAAATCTGAGTTGCTAAGATCTGATATTTAAAGAAGTTAAAGTAGAATTCTTGCAAAGAACTTTTACTAATTGGTAAGGTTAAAAACGCCACATGAAATAGATCAATTGAGGTGACGGTATCGTTCTTACAAAGGTTCTTACTTATTAATTGATTGCAAATAAATTCGTCAATGTTTAAATACTTAAGACAATCAGTTTTTATAAGCATTGAAATCAATAAGCAACAGATCGTCGTTTTCAACTCAGATTCCGTTCATATTTTTCATAGCGAAGCCAATTTCTGACACCGTTATATAAAGAATAGCTGATATATTTTATGTAGCTGGTGTAATCAAAGAGCGGTGGTTTTTTGTTACTTTCAAGATTAATTTTAAATGAGATCAATTGAGTTTGTTTTTCAGTATTTAATGTCAAAAGGCATATTTTAATTACTCCAAAGTCGGCAAAGTAGTGGGCAGGTTCGCTTCATAGTATTGAAATAACAGTCCTACATCACTGTCAGCTTACAAGTGCACATGACAAAAAGTGCATAAAGTTGGATTGAAGATAATAAAAGATTGCGAAATAACATTTTACAGGAAGTTGAATCATATTTATATAATTTTCAACTGCTAAGAACGATGTGAGAAAAAATTTTTAGAACATTAACTCGAAAATACGCGGTATTATATGATTGATTCTGTTACACTAAATTACAAATCTGTACGCGCGAGAGAAAATTGGGTTATTCGTAATAGATCCCTGTGGATCAAATAAATATGAAATGTTTATAGATGGGATGAAATTATTCTTCTTAATAAAAAGTTTTTGTTGAAAATTTTGAAACGATTTGATTAAAAATGTCGAAATTAATGTTGAAATTAAAAAAATTGAAACGAATTTCACCCAACTATAGAAATGTTACTGAAAATGACAAAACAAGAATGTGAACGTCACCAACTTAAAAAATTTCACTAAAAAATTCATCATTAGATTAAGGTTAGGATTTGTTATTACCGTTAACTCTGTACACCTTTAGATTTTTTCGCTAAAGTGGAAAATCACCAGCGCGACCGATAATCGAGGGCTCAGTCACATGATTTTCGACCTAAAACCCTTCGGAAATGCTTCAAATTTTTTTTGGTTCATAGGCAAAAGTTCATCTGATTGGCTAATAAATTCAATTTAATCTTACATTATTTATATAGTTTAAAATACTTTTTTAAAAAACAAAACCTAATCATAATGAAATAAAAAAAAGCTGTGTAGAAGGTTTCATTAGAGCTGTAGGACTCCATAGTCAAAAATAAGATCTAATTCTCGTCCGTTTAAAAAAATTGGCTTAGTAATAAATTGATTTTATCGGATTTTGAGAAGTTATTACTATACCATTAAACGGACGAGAATTAGATATTATTTTTGGCCGAGTCCTACAGCTCTAATAAAACCTTCTATACAGCTTTTTTATTTCATTATGATTGTTTTTCGTTTTTATAAAAGTACTCTAAACTGTATAAATAATGTAAAATTGAATTTATTACCTGAGAATTTGGATCACAATTTTTTGTTTAATGGAAACAGTTACTAGCATGGCAAATACAATTTTTTGTCCTTGACTACTGAATTATAACAAACAGTAAAACACATGAATTTTGAATGATACTGTAATACATTTCCAAAGTGTAGGTAATTTTTGACAAAACGAACGAACATTTAATTTGAATTTTCTTGATCATGTTACGTTCCACCTAATCTTAAAATCAGATTCGTAGTTCAGGAAATCTGCGCCACAAACCTGGCACACTATAATTAATAACTAGACAGCTGCGCGACGTCATCGCGCAAAACCAGGAACAGAAGACCTAAAAAAAAACCCCAGCTAATTATTAGTTGATTGGCTAGACAAAATCATATATGAGAGCTTGTGTCTAAATACTTTGCCCTTCAGCAAATTACTTTTTTTAAAATTGAGTCATGTATTGGATTCCACGACTACTGTTCACATAATGCAAGACCCACTCACAAGCGTTGTTATATCATAGTTCTAAATTAAGCAATTAATACGTACTTACGTACCTGACCTCTTTGTGCTCGCTCACTCACTGCTTTGCATGCTCAATTAGGAGGAACGTCAAAGCCAGGTTCGGTTAGGATTAGTTTTTCTGATGTATTTAGAGATATTGTTTTATAAAGATAACAAGAATGCAATTTATGCAATTTGTAAATCATAACCCCTCAATTAGTATTAAAGGTTGCCTAACCTGATTACTTCTGAATATTCTTGAAATATTATCTGGCAATTTTTTTGGTCTTTTTTCTAATAAGTTAATAATGGAAACACTTAAAACAACGTTGGACCTTGACGATCTCGTAAATCTTGAGACGATGTAAGTAGATCTTTGTCTTCAACATAGGTTTGGTTGTATCCAAAATATCCTATAAATCAAAAATAGGTTTGTAGAAATAGGCAGAGAAGACGGTCTAAAAAATGGCATTAAAGCAGGAGCTTTAGAAGGTCGATTACTTGGCTGCGAAAAAGGTTATGAAATATTAAATGAAATTGGCTTTTACGATGGTGTAGCTGAAATGTGGCTGAAGATTTTAGAGAAAGGTTTAAATATACATAATGTTAAAAAACCAACAAATGAACGGTGAATTAAATTTTGCTTCAAATTAATATTTAAAAATAATTGGTTTAATTGATCATAACTAATTTAGATTTAATAAAATAGCTTAATTAAACAACTTACTTCTTTACGAGAACTAATTTCAACATTTCCTATTGAAAACCAACAAAACGTAGAATTTTTAGATTTATTGAGCAAAGTTCGATCAAAATATAAAGTTTGCACATCGCTTTTAGGTGTAACTAATTCTCAAAAATTTAAAAAGACTACTGAGTCCGCACCTCTAGTTTAAAAACAGTGTATTGTAATATTAGAAAACATTAATCAGAAGGTTTATTCTCTCTTCACATTTGCCCATCTTTGTATCTTTTAGTATTTTGTTTTTCAATGATTGATCATTTGAATATTTATTAGGTTAGGTATTTTCATGAATATAACACTTTGGGCCTAAAAATCTGGCGAGAAATGCGCATCGTAAAGACTACTAACCACTTATTAAATTTAAAGAAAAGTAATAAAAGATAAATGATGTTACAGCATCCTTTCATTAAAGGACATACATATATTATGTTTTATTTATTAGAAATTTATCAGGATGACTAATGTTTTTTTTAAAAAGCTCAACATTGATAACGCAAAAATATCGTTTCTGATAAATCGTCAGTACTGTTTTTGATGGCGTATAAAAAGTTAATTTACGCGATGTTCCTGTTAGGATTCTAAAAAAAGAACACTACAACACTATAGCTAAGTATATAAAAAAAATCGGCATTGATCCATCAAGGATATTTTTGGCATTATAACAAGTGAATTGGTCAAACAAGTATTAAAATAATTAAAATAGTAGTCCCATACGGGTTAAAGCATACAATGACATATTGGCCATTTCTTAAAAATTAATTTCCTTCCAAATTATTACATTGGTGCTTTAACTACCTGAGGCCCAACTCAAAAGATGATCACCCAAAATCACTGCTACTAAGTCCTAAGGTCCTTCAAGTTCCGGGTAATATGTTTCAATAGTGGCGTGCCCAGTACTTGCAGAACACTTTGGGAATCACTGTAGCATAGGACACTGCCGCATGCATATAAAGACCAACAAATAGCGGTTTGCCCTGAATATGACTTTATGGGACATAACCATTACTATGTTTTATAAGGTCATTTTCAAGCAAGGATCCAAATTGTTTGGTCAGGTTTAAGAAACTTACATGCGACCAATCAGACTGCAGATATAATATAGCTTATTAACTTAAAAATAATGTGCATTAATCTTTATTTTTCATTCATGCTAATCTTATGTGATTATTCTTGCAATTTAACTTAGATTCATAATAGTCACCAGCGTTTGCCAACCTGTACTTTGTGCTAATTGATTAGCATCTTTTTCTTCATGTGATACGGCAAGCCTTGCGAGTGCTGCAAAATCATTCTGAAATAAATAAATAAAAACTTAATTATGAAATAAATAAAAAGTTAATTATGAAATCATATAATAAAGTGATAATACCTGATCCAATATGCCAGTTCCCTTCACGAAAGTTAACAAATGAAAATCTGACACACAGTCGACATGCACATTACCACTGGATTCAAGCCCAAGATGTCGATATAAGCATTTTAAATCTTGTGACTCGATTCCAGGACGATTTTCAATTGGGAAGTTTTTCGGAGAAGTAAAAAGTGGTACCGGATTGTTCGGAAAGCCATGTGTCACCTAAAATATAAACAGGAAAAATTTTAGATTAAGATGAACGATATTTTAAAGCAATAAAAAAGTAACTATTCGATTCATACATTAACCAACAAATATTCTACTGGAAAGCAAGGTTTTGCACTTTCTTGAACATTGACGCCATAGTTATTCTTATATTTATAAAACACTTCTGGAACGTATTTCTCAGACGTACTCTCTTTAACTCGAATAATACTTGGATCAACACTAGCCTTAATAATATCTTCAGCTACCATAGATGTACAAATATTTGACACTTGATACGCGGAGACGTCAATGTCACCGTTAGTGTTGCCTGTAACAACACAAGTGACAAATCTACTATTAAACTTTCCCGATGCACACCATTTTGAAGCTGTTGGATGCTTGTTCTGCATCGCTGCTGAAAAACAACACTCCTGGGATGAAAGAAAATACGAGTCGATGTGTCTCTTGCAAATTACCTTGCCTAAACCTGAGCCGTCATCAGTGAGATCAGTGTAAATCATTCCAACCTATTAATGTATAATAGTTTAATATATTTTAAAAATTATAAAGTTGATAAGTTGTATAAATGCAGCATTCAATTACTTTTTGTAATCCACAATTCATGGCAACTTCGTCAACAAGTTTCTCATCATTCCATGGAAGAGTAAGCGTCAGCCCATCGACCTCATCTTCTTGAGGCGGTTCATAAATAGCTTCGACTACAGCCTTTACACCTAATGGAACGTCAGGGTAATGTTCATATCGGCCATATAAATATCCAAACCGTTGAGTACCAGTTGATCGCCAAAAATGAATGAAATTATTAATTAAACTTGATGCAGAAAACTCTACGTGATCAACCATACGATATTCCTAAGATGATAGAAATAAATTAGTATTAGATGACTGAGGTATAAAGTTTAATTGAATTGATAAAAAATGAAATGTAACTTGCATACTTGAAGTTGTAAAGTAATAGCACTAGGCTGACATTTTGTACAAATGCCTTCTGGCCATGGCGCGTGAGAACCTGAACAGTTTTTATTTACACAGAGATCAGGTTCTTCTAATGGAGGAATAAACTTTGAATTCTGCTTGTTTTGCTTGTTAATTTTGCGTAAATAAGCATGAAAGGACATATGCTTAATTTTATTTTCAGTTAAATAACTTATATCATATGGCTAATATATAATAATAGAAATTTTGATAATTATAGTTAGACTATATATTCAAAAATTGATATAAAACATGAATAATGACTTATTGACCACGTTACCTCTAAAGGCATGCAATAATCACACATTCCGTTCGCCGCATGTTTGCAACTATAATGTTAATGTTATATTAATAAATTATATATGCACTTGACGCGCTAAATAATAACTTTTAAGTATTATACAATTTCGGATCTCTTCCACGTTTTATCAATCCATCTTGTTTTTCTAGAAAATCATCGATAGGATCTTGCTTTATATCGAATAGCGTTGACGGCTTAGTTCCTACATTATTGGTTTTTGATGATTCTGAGGTAACGTTTTCTTGATATGTAATAAAAAGAAGGTCACCGTGTCTTTAAAAAAAAAATAAATAAAAAAACATTGAAAAAACAATTTAGTACAAATAAACTTTAATCGAATAATCAAATTACGAATAGCCACCTAATTCCCAGTTCATTGATACTTTTCCCCACCAGATCTCTTATTGGAGTGGAAGTTGTAGGCTTATCAGATATGGTAATCGAGGAATAGTCCGGAATTTTTAAATCACTTGCAATCTGCAAGATCGTAGTAGTATTGAATGTTATTTAAGGTCAACAACAGAAATAGACAATGACTAAAGGATCTGCTAAATAGCTTTTACCTTTGTACCCAGCACCGAAACATCGTCAGCTGGATCAATTTCGATGCGAACAGTACCTTGCTTTGAACGAATGCGGACTAACTAAAAATAAGAAATATGTAATTATTCAACACAAGAATGAAATCAAACGCGTAATGATATTAGGTTGATCACACAAAACCTTACCATGACTTGGAAATACCTAATCCAAAGACGTGGTGGTCTTCACTTATATACTAGTTCTTGTATTACTTACGTCACCTGTTGCGTCATCCCAATACGTAACAAGGTTTTAAGAAATTCTGTGCGTGCGTATGTACATGCATACCAGGGACACGGAATCTATGTGATTTAGTGTGATTTGATGCGATTTGGGTTCGTTGTGAGCTATCAGTTACATAAATTTTATATGTAATAATTAGTAATTATGCGATCTGGTGTAGTTTGTCAAGAATCGCACTAAAACAAATCGCATATATAATTTCCGTGTCCCTGGTACATATGTACGTAAATACGTTGAGCGGTCAGTTAGTACCCTTAAAATCCGTTCGCGATAGTATTAGCGTGACCGTTATACTTATGTAATCTTGCATATACGTAGTAAATATTCTATATCAAATACGTAATACTATGTATAAATCTAAATATAAAGTTATTTAAGCTGAGTAAAAAATGCTTAGCTGAGATCATTTGTGTCAATTGGGTTTGCAGGTTCAACCGTGTTAGTTTTCATGAGTTGCAGCACAGGTAGGATAGGTTTACGGTATTGGCTCATATAAATTATACAAGCCAAACTCGAGATATACAATCGCACCTCATTATAGTTACTCTCGATATACAATCGCACCTCATTATAGTTACTCTCGATATAGTCACTTTATTTTTTTTTTTTACCAATAAAATTTATATTAATTTAGCCTCTATGTAGTCACTATCACATAATTTTTACATTATCGAATAGAACTAATATCTAGGGATTGGAACCGCCTAAAATTTTTCTTAATAGTTTAATCGTTTAACCGTTTAATTTGTCCGGCATTAAAATAATCCCGGTCCGGAACTATGGAGCAATTTTTAAACGGTTAAACGGTTCCAATCCCTACTAATACCAGCAGTCATAATTCTTGGGACACCTGCCGAATGATTTTTTCGGTTGATCCGGTTATTATTTCGGGATAATAGATTCAATAAAGATTGGTACTTACGTACCAATTTTTATTGCTTGGGTCTTGTAACAACTCGTGCTTTTTTTTCAAGATAGTTAGCAATGTAATAAATTTTTCATACGGTTAACATATGGTTATGAGACATGTAATTTACTATGTCTCATAACTTGATTTTCAAGGCAAAGACCCCATATCGATATGTTTTGTATAATTGATTTTTATAAGTCTATTATCTATTTGGCGTGGTTAATAAGCATTATATAGTTAATATAATTAATCTTTTTTCGTGAGATTATAGGAAAGATATCTTTGCATCGAGATAATTTTTTCTTTTACAAACTGTACGTACTAAGGATGGCAAAAGTTTTTTATTACCTAATTAAAAACAGATGATGATTTTGGTCCTAAATATATTCAAATCCAGGTCTAACTATTCGAAAACATTTAGAAAGTCAAAAGTAGGGATGTTAATCAGTCTTTTGGGACCCAGGATCGGTAAGGACTCGGTCCTTAAATCACAATACATTTCATAGGACCTGGATAACAGCCTGATCCAAAGTGAATCCCTCTCACCTGTGATCAATCACCAGTTTTAATATCTGTGTAACATTAATGGTCTCTGCTGTTGACCTGAATCTGAATTGAATCAAGATTAATTTGATTGGATGGACTTATTCGATAGATTCAATTCAGGAACTAAGTCCTATAAAATGTATTGTATTTTAAATAATTTTGTAACTAAAATTTGCTAGCAAATAGCTAGTAATGTTGAGAGACAATTTCATTATACGTACGTATTTGGGGAACTAATTAATAAAATTGGGTTAATAATTGGTTGGTTTATGAAAAGGTTTTTTTGATATTACATTTGATCTATTTATACGTATAATAATATCACATCGAATAAAGTTTCTTAAAGATGACAACGGTTTTAAATAAATATCTTCAGTGTAAAAAATAACATAATCTAGATTCATATTTAAAAACTAATAATAACAGAAGACAAAAACAGATTACTGAATCAAATCAACAAATTTTAACTATATTTCAAACTTAAGTAACTGATAAAAAAAGTATTAATTAAAGCTTTTATTTAAATACCTCTTTCGAGTGTAGATGTAGAGCATTCATTCTCAAATTATAAGCATATTCTAGATGGAGAAAAAATATTGAAAGGATAAAGTTTTTATATTTTAACGAATATAACCTTAGCGAAGATGGTGTAAATGGTTTTTAAAATATAAATTCATAAAATTTTACTAATTATACCAATTTTACTAGCTATTTTTGCTAGCTATGTTTGCTACTAATGACCACTAGTTCTAATACCAATTTTTATTGAATTTATTATGCCGAAATAATAACAGGATCGGCAGAAAAATCATTCGGCTAATTTTTTACAGGTGTCCAGGAATTATGTAACAGTCTAGGCTTCCGAAATAGAGCCCGTGCCCAGAACTTACAGAACCAAATTTTTATCGATCAATAAATAATCCCTTGCAGCAATTCAATTCCATTTAGTTCCTTGAATAAACCAAGAACTTTTAACACATTATTAATTAATACAATAAAATAACATTAAACTTTAAAAATTAAATAAATCCGGATTTAAAATAGTTAAACCCGGTCCCAAACTCTAGGTCAGTTGTGCTATTTATTTAATATTAAAAAATTTTGATGCATATTTATATATACAAAACGGGAAATTATTTACATTCTCGAGCACAACGAGAAGCCAATATATGCGCTATACGTATTTATTATGAACGAATATGAGAATCTAACCATTCTAATACTTTATGCGTATCACCAATGGGAATAACGAATCCCTCCGATAAAGGGATAAAATCACTTATGGAAATTTTATCGTTTGAAATGACCGACTCAAAAAACTTCTCCCATAACGGTATTCGTTTTAAAGAAGTAATTCGAGAATCTAAAGATGTATCATACATAAAAATTTTGTTTTCTTCTCTCACTTCAATGTCCAATCCATATTTTGGAAATTGTTCTGAGGTGAAGAAAGGCAGTATCCTGGATATTACAAGATTCATTAAATTACAGTACGTTAAAAAGAAAAGTGCATTTGCAAACGGATTTAAAAGGTTTGGAGAAATTATGTTTTAGGAATATTAAGAGAGATGTTGACTTTACCGTTGAGACCATATTAAACGAATATGATAAGAAGATCGAGGAATGATATTTAAAACACGCTCTCCTACATAAATCGTATTCTTTTCAAGCGCATCCAAAGCAGAAAACAAAGGGGTCGTCCGCGTCAGTGTCTTAATAAAATAATCACAAAAATATTAATATGGAAATATTTAGGAATACAAATGAACTTTAATGATAAACTTACAGTGATTAAAGATCCGACGTTACATTCGCAATTCAAAGTATTTTGGAGATATATACTTATTCGTTGGTGTGGATTCCGACTCTTTGTTGTATCAGTAGTACCAAATTGTAACGAATATCGATCAGACTTACAACTAATATCGAAAAATAAGTCCTAAACATAATGGATAATCAATTAAATATTTGTTACGCCTAAACTCGATATGGACAGCACTACATCATGAGTATGTATCAGATGTAGGCTATACGAAATTTAATTTCTAAAAGTACAACCTGTGAATATATGACTTTAACGGTCCGGAAATTAAAGGGCGCGATTTTAATGGAGGTATCCGTCCATGATGGTGTGCTCACTTTATCATTATTTACAAGAGAAAAATTTAATAAATTTGTCTAGAAAACCTACAGATAACAAATCGATTACCTTGAGAGGCAGCTTGACAAATCATTACTATACTACTCCAATCTCGAATAAAATTTTTGATATAAGAATCTTCAGCCTCGTATTTAAAAGATATAACTTGAGAGACTGGATCGTATCTAACGTTGTCTAATACATTCAAAATGAAAATATTAAGTTAATAGCTATATGTATTAAGAAAAACCAGATTCTGTTAGCAAAAGTATTTATATGCTTAGTAGTTAAGGATAGATATATATAATTTAATTTAATCTGCCTATTACCAAAAGATAGAAACACCTATGGCAACATCTGTCTTTTAATAAAAAGGTATATCAAACATAAATATACTAACCTAATAAATCGGCATTGTTTATTGTTGGCAGGCTATTTGGTTTTATGCGTGTTGTCATTATTACCTGTACAAATTTAACAAAAATTAGTAAATAAATAATTAAAATAATAAACGAGTGATACCAAAAAGAAACACAAATAATAATGACAAGTTTAACCTCAGAGGTTTGGTTTTGGCATCACTCAAATACATTAGCCATAATATAACTGAATAATTAATCATATATACCGAGCATGCTGTAGTTGTTAATAAACGAGAGCCAACGAATCGAATATAAATGTCCCCAAAAACATTCAAAGTTTTATCAATTGATATTTGCATTTTTGCTAATATTGATTGTCTGTCCATTTTCAAAACTGGAATAGATGATGTTAAAGATATGGAGGAATCGGGATCGATAAATTCAAGGGATTTATCAGGCTGTATGACAGTAAATGACAATTCATGTGATTTGATCTGCTCTTTCATTCTAAGATAAGATATGCGAGCACTTCATGGCATGAAATTTATAATTATATCAAATGAGATTAGTAATATGTTCCTGACAAGATAAGACAAAATCTTAACTTACCGACAAAGTGCTGAAATCCTGGCAAGGTGTACAATTTCATATTCGAGACTATATAAATTATCACATTTAATAAATATTGTCATTTTTATTGGGCTACATAAAATCATCTATAATATACCCAGTGTTAGCTCGTACGAGCTTTTTTCTCGGTGATGTTCCTTCTGCTTTATCATCAATTTCTTCAAAATTTCGTTTCCCACAAAGAACGCCACCATCCATAGGTAAAGGACCCTCTTTTTGCAATTCTAAACTTGCTTTATCTATAAAGCTATTCCTTTCTTCCTCTAAGTATATAGGTTCACTAGACGACAGCTTATGGGTAGGATCTTTTGCATCTTTAACTAATATAAACCTTTTAACTGGTGGCTCTCGGCTAAGCAATTGTAAAAGTCTGGTTAACAAACACATCGAATAAATGCAAAACTATTAATTCATCTATACCTTAGAGTCGTCAACCAATAACGCAAGCCACCATTCACAATCCCACAGATTAGAAAGTGATTATCGTATTGTGGGAAACGAAGGTACGCGCAATGATTTGTGCCCAATTGATTGAGATCTTCTTTACGTAATATCAGGCTACGATGTATATCAAACTGCAAATATTTAGCTGCCTTTTCAATTTGATCAATCCTGGATTTGAATTTTAGGTAACAAAGCGTTTGTACGACTAAATTATCGTCATTTTGTGCGAAGCTGATTTTATCCTCACACATCTTAATAAATTCTAAATCCAATTAAACATTAAAAAACAATTGCTAACGTACATAGCAATATAAAACTAACGCTATTGAAAAACGAACTCACCTTTATCATCAATTTTATTATTTTCTTCAATTATAATTCTACCACTTCTAATGTCTACACTAATAGTAACATATCTATCTCCAAAAAGCCATACACGCAATGACGAGATTTTCAAGAATTTCTTTGCAACATTGTCAGAAATGGGTGAGTCATCAGAGATGAAATCATCAGGAAATTCTTTATTATTCAGAAGAACGTATTCGGAAATATTTTTGAACAGGTATGAAGAATAAAATTTTTTGACCGGTCTAGAATAATAATGAGTCCACGTGAACAAGTATGATATAAAATGTACCAACCTTGGCAACCTTCTATAATTTCTAAATCTTCCTCCGAGAATGCACTCTTAGCAAGTGCAAGCGATGATAATGCATTCTTAAAACCCATGATAACTGATTCTGCACGTTTCTGTGTAACAGATAGTAATAGATGTTCAAAACTCAGATTGGTCGGATCCTGGTGACCAGATAAAAGCAATAAATATTAATGTTTTATATTGACCAACAGTGATGAGTAGAGAGCATTAAACGAGACTTTGTCATGGATCATTGATAATTAAACGAATATACAATAAATCGAATAAACTCACAAATTCCCAATCCAAAACTGTCCACTCAGTAGTGTTCTCGCCCGCTAAACCTATCCAGCGAGCTTGCAAGAATTTGTGCGGATAATTTAACCCACGCCCATCGTTCAGAACACCGGGTTTGATACGTGAAGTGTCAGTTAGCCAATGTGACTTTGAAAGCATTGATCTTGACAAATGTATTAAAGAGCGCTTTGTTTTTTCTTCTGCAATCGTTATTTCAATCACGTCGCCTTTAAATGCTGTTTGGAATCAAATCATATCAGAACCAGTTCTTAATTTATTCCAATAATATATATAATTTATTACGTACATGAATTAGAAGCAGGCTTCACACTTCTAAATATAAACAAGCGATAAATATGATTATTTCTCAAGTCTGTATGAAATACAGTCAGACCTCTCTATAGTCACCTCCTCTATAGTCACGTAAATTTTTAAAACCAACTTATATAACACTTATAAAATTTAACCTCTATATAGACACAAACTCTTTATAAGCACCAAATTCTTAAAACCAAGGGTGTGATTATAGAGAGGTTTGACTGTATAAATAATATGATAATTTGTGCACTACTCACCTCCAATAATAAACCCTAAGGAAAGTACGTGGTTCATCATGAAGAGTTCCATCCGTTTCCAAAAATAAATTGTTTGCCCATCTTGTCCCTGCTAAGCGGAAAGCCTACGAAATCGAATAATCATTTAAATGATATAAATATATAAATGAATGTTAAGTTGGAATTAAAATCGGGCTTTACCTGCTGATAAAGAATATCAAGCTGCATATCCAAGCAAAATGTGTGTAAAAAATCATACAATTCTAGCAAGGGAAGCGACCTCGCAGGTTTCAATGTAGATTTCTCTGTATTTCCTGGAACTCTCGATAAAGGCAGCTCCGGCAATGGTGGATTTTTGGGAAACAATCTAAGCTGGGCATTTCGTATAACAAAATTGATTTGTACTTCATGCAAAGATAAATCAATATCTATAGCAATTTAAAGAAGTTAACTTATAATTAGCTATGAAATTAATTATTGACGTTTTCAGAGTTATCAATATTATAATTACCGCTATAGAGCTTATCATTAGCAGATTGAATTAGAAATTTAAGGTCCATTATATGCCAAGGGAAATCTGGTTTTTGATCAATTAATGTCAACACCACCTGTTTATTCATAATTATCAAATAAATTGTCGACTCATTGAATCAATTCACCGTGAAGAATTATTGAAAAAAAAATCCGATCACTTACCTCAAATTCCTTTTTGACAAAAAATGTTATCCTTCCATTATCCACGTGATATTTTCTCATAGCTGGAGGAACCACTTCTTCGGTCAACATTCGTAATTCAATTACACTATTCAGTTCCTCTAGGGCTTTTTTGACCTCACTATCCGTCAAGGGCTTGGAAGCAAGGAACTCCTATATAAATGCATTTTTACAATTCAGATATAAATTAATATTCAGAAAAGAATAAATCTACAATTTCAGTACCTCGATCGCTCTTGGAAACCTTTGGTATTTTCCCGTCGTGAGTACATCAATAGCCGTGAGTATATCTAGAGAACGTACGCTAAAAAATTCGAAAAAATATATTAAATCTCAACACATTAAATTTGAACATAATAAATTTTTTTTATGAATTAGATATATCATTCATTAAATTTCACAATATGTAGAATTATTTCAATACCTTGTAGTTGGCATGAAATTTGCGTGTTCTCCAAGACTTTGTTCCACGATATTAATTTTTTGTTGCTGATTTTGAACCGCTTCATGATAAGACTATACAAAAAAAAATATGATCAACCATCGTTATGTAAACTTTAAAGTTATAAGTTAATTAAAACAAAAGTACTATTTACTTCGCAATTTTTAATGATATCAGTATGTTCAGACCATTTAACAAGTGATTGAAGCTTTAAGAATTGTTGGCGTTGTGGTATTAAATAATTCAACATAAAAGATTTTCTTCGATCGCCGTCTCCTGAATCTATTTGTCTGCAAAGGCAAATAAATTGATTTGTATTAGAAAATATAAGAAAGATATAAAGTGTTTAAAAACCTACGATATTTTTTTGTGTATAAAGGCAATAAGATTATCTCGAGAATCACAGTTGACAGAGGCGACTATCTCCTGAAGAGGCCTCCAATCTTGAGGGCTAGATGCGTACGCCATATACATGGGTGTCGAAAATATTTTGCTCTTGGTGTAAATTTAAATGACGAAAATGATTTGTGACAATTAAAATTGTAAATAATTTAGTATGTCGAAAATATTTTAGTAGGCCGAAAATATTCCTGTATGTCCTGTATCGGTATGTCGAAAATAAATATTAAAATGTGATCTCCCGTGATAATTAACGTTAACGTTAACCAATCAAAATTCGTATACTAGAAACGAGAAAGAAGCTTATAAACTGATAAATACTGTACATGCTAACGAATAGATAAAATGGGTAAACGTTATGTATTTATTACTAATAAACCCAAACTCTTTAAAAAATTTATAATCCAAAACTTTACAATTGGCATATTACAGGAACAAACATTAACGAAAGCATTTCTAATTTGATATGGTCAATACTGTTTTGTCTTCTAAGCTAGGTCCTTCAGGTTCCGATCTTTTCGTACAGCGAATATTCACGCTCTTGTGAAGCTAACAATAAAAAAAGATTGTATTATTTATTACGTAGTAAAACGTTGCGTGGTATAAATAAGTTACCCGCCATACACGAAAAAATTCTGCGCCGCAGATTTCAAGGATCATGTGTACCGTAACACGAGCGTTCGTTTTGTCAAAAATTGCTTATTTCTCAAAAAAACCACATACAAGACCACCTTTAGCCTCCTAACAAAAAGGTTTCCTTGAGCGATTTTATTATATAACTATATAATCCCCAGTTTTTAACTTTATTATAAACTCTAATCCTACCATTAATGAACTTTAAAAAATTTTGCTGCGCACAATGATCGACAAAACCTGGCGCAGAATTTTGGTTATCCCGACATCACGCAGGGTAATAATTAATATTTAAAGATTAGTAATCACATTAACAATTATTGTCAGGTTTTAAATTTTAATTGTCGCATCGCGTGATGTCGGGATTATGGATTTCGAGATTTTGGATGTCGTGATTTTTTGGTACGTAGAACCAGAATTTTTTCATGCATGTAAATCATCCATAATTTCGATGCCCATGTAACAATAGGAGCAAGGAGTTCTATATTTTTTATTTGGCAAAAATAATTAATAATAGTATGTGAATTATGGTTATATATTGTTCCTCAAAATCTCTATCAAGAAAGCACTAGTTCATAAGTTCGTTGAAGAGACTGAAGGCACCGACAGTAAGCTTTATTTAAACCCAATATCACACGCATAATTGAAATAACAAAAACGGAAATGATGTACAACAATAAAAAGTATAAATATGCCATTGCTTCATTAGCACTCTAAAATAAATCCCTATTAGACCGCAGTGGGAAATGGCGGAATCAAAGAGGACAGTATATGAAAAAGCAATGGTACGTTGTATGAACAAACATTATGAGAACCTTTTTAACTTTTGATTTTTAAAAAGCATGACACTAGCTTCCGTCGTACCTGGGACAAAGAAGAATTCGAACGTCGCGCACGTGAACGAGCACGTCAAGAACGTGAGCAAGAGGAAGACGAAGACCGAAAGCGTAAAGGATTAAAGGCAAAATTCACTGAGAGCCCGATACCTGACCAGCCGCGAGATTTATTAAGGGCCCGTACTGAGAGAGTTATTCTAGATACAAATCTGAATAAAACACAAGTTGTACAATCGACTAGTATTGCTTCAAAGCAGCCAGGCTTTTATTGTAAAGAATGTGACTGTGTCGTCAAAGACAGTGTAAACTATTTGGATCATATTAATGGAAAGAAACGTAAGCATCATGGCAAATTTATAGTTTTCTCTCCTGAATTAAAGCTAACGAAGATATAAAATTTCTCATTTAGATCAACGAGCCCTTGGAATGTCGATGAAAGTCGAGCGTAGCACCATAGATCAAATCAAATCAAAATTCGAACAATTGAAAAAGAAAAAGGAAGAAGAACAACAAATATATGGTTGGTATTCCAATCGGCGAAATAATTATTTAACTTTTAATTAATAATTTACAATATTAATGAATTTCTTATTCTAGACCTCGATGCACAAATAGAAAAAGCTCAAAAGCAAGAAGAAGAAGAGAAACGAAGGAAAAAAGAACGAAAGAAAGCTAAAAAGAAGAATGAATCAAAAAAAAACGATAAAGAGGAAGTCGGTGAAGATGGTATCGATCCAGAGATGGCCCAACTAATGGGGTATGGTAAAGCGGTCGAATTAACATTCAATATATTTAATATATTTGCATTTCAGCACTGATGTATATATCTCTCGTAATAATAGATTTGGTGGATTCGGATCAACTAAATCTTAAAATAAATTGTTCCCATAGTTTATTGACATTAATAAGAAATGATCATTTGCGTCTGGTACTGTAAAGAACCTCTCTAAATGCACCGTCAAAGACATGCTTGACCCATAAATACACTTGTTCTTAATGTTTTCGAAATGCATTTTAAAAGTTTGCTTCTATAGGATGCATTTAGGAAGGTCTGATTATACTTTAGAATTGATTGAAAAGTGGATCTCACAATGTGAAAGCACTTTATGTCTAACGCTAGCACTTCGAATATTTGTAGTGCATTACGCTCAAAAATTTTTTCATTGCTAAGCAGGTGTTGTATATTTTATATATTTGAAAAGGTTTCTCAAATTGAAGATAATAAATTATTATTAAATATAATTTTGGAGAAAATTTTTTTTTAGTTGATACTGGAAAAGATTATATTCAGGATGCTATATCTCAAAAAGCTGACTAAAAAGCAGTGGGTAGATATTAACAGTTATAGGATATGTTCCTAATAATTATTGTTATTTATAAGAAAATAAGTTGACATACTAGATTTTATATATATATTTTTACGAAAAACGATTAAAATTTGTTTATTGAAAAAAATATAAATATTAGGTTGGTAATTAAATTTAATGTAATTAAGATAATAGTGTTTATATAAAAGCTAATTTTTTTATATTAATTGTTGATTTGAATAAAATTAGCACAATTTTTATATTAGAATTTGGAATAAAATTTTTATAATGTTAATTATATTTCAGAATCTGAGCGAAGTTTAATAATAAGTATTTTTTTTATTAATAATTCAAGTTGATTAATTGAAAGATGTAAAACTTATTAAAATGTATTTAATATTGGTTAGATTATTCAAATCTGTCTAATAAATGCTAAGTTATTACTTAATAATGTTTGATTAATTATATAAATTTTTTTTTTAAATTTAAAGTTTTTGTTTGTAAGAAGCAATGTTTTTATTTAAGTTTATAAACATAAATGTTTTTAGAAACTTTTTTATATAAAAAGTTACAATTAATTATATTTGTACTTTTGGTATTTAAATATATTATTACATCAAACTTTTTTATAATTACATTTTTGGTTTTGAAAATTTGATGCTTATAGAAAATTTGTATCTATATGAAGGTTAAATTTTATAAATGTTATATAAATTGATTTTAAAAATTTATATAATTATAATTAAATATAATTATAAAAAAAATAACTATAAAGTAATTTGACTGTATATAGATTTTATATTAAATGTTTTACCTGCAAGTTAACTATGAAATTTGTTTATTTAACCCTTTTGCATATATAATTCATCTTGTATTATAATAATATCTTCAAAATTATACTCATCTAACATATTTATTTTTAACAAGAAACTTACTAGAATCTTTTATATTTTATATATAGTTAATTTAGTTTATATAACATATTATAATTAAAAATAGAGTGATGTAAGACCTGTAAATCAATAATAAAGTGGTTACACTCTCAGGTCATCAATCACAAAGTTGTTAGTTCAAGTCAAATAAGAAACAAAAACTGAGTTAAAATCATGATTATTGATTAATTATATCTGATGATGTATTATGAAAATAAAAAGATTTTTAGTACTTAGATTTTTAAATGGCAATGAACTTGACATAAAAAGGTTATGATGATTAGAAAACTAAGAATAATAATAAAACAAAGGAATCTCTAATTAGGAATAATTCTAGTAAAATTTTAGAATAATAGAAATACAAAAATCAATATATTCAATGAACTCTTTATGACGATCATTCGAACCAAACTTTTCAAAAAGCCAAACTACAGAAAAATGATATAGTTAATATATTAAACTTTATAAAAACT